AACATCACATTTTATAAAAGTTTTAAAATTTTGACCCTTTGAGTTGACCGATATTGTCTATTTTCACAGCTGGCCTAGCACTGACAATAAGATTGGGATTTGTAAAATTTGCATCGACTGATCCTTTCTCTTTCTAAGAGGTAAATTATGTTTTTTTTTTTTTTTTAAAAGTTCAAATTTTGTATGGGACGTACCAGAAGGAGTGGACCGATGTTGCTCATCTGCGAATACTTTCGGATACTTCTTTCGAGAGTTATCGTGTACACCAGGCAGAAGACAGGAGGACGGACGGACACCCATAGATCGACTCCAAATGTCATGAAACGAATTTGGCCCAAAGGGTCAAAGCCCGTTATTTCCAAGAAGCACATTTTTGACATGATACATACGCTCTGTAGACATATGGCTGAGGATATGAAAAGTTTGAAATCTTTTTTTCAATTGATAGAAGGGTCCATATAATAGATGTTGTAAATTTAAATTTGTTTCCACTAACACCAGGTAGACAAATAAAACACTCGCGGACACGTTCGGTTTTTATCTAGGACTTTATTTTACACTTGTTAACTTTTAGGCAGACACTTTACAAACTGAGATAACTTTCTTTCTCTTCTCATGCTTATATATATATATATATATATAAAAGTTTTTCCAGATTGTTCTATACTAGATAATCGATGTTATTAGGTAACCGGTATTTACATCATCACATGTAGGGGGAGCTGCACAAATATATGTGTTGCAGGGTTGTATTTAATTCACAATAACTGACACCTCTCCTCAACACATATATTTCCTATTTCCTTATTCTCTAATTTATACATACTATTTACATTACAACACTTATTCATTCTTTATAGACATACTATAAAAATCCAGTCATGTCAATCCAAGTTCTTTAACTAGTTTAAAATGAGACACCTTTGATAAATTCTTCTAAAAACTAGAATATTCTTAATCTAGACTATTCTATACACATTTCTTATACGGTGAAACTTTGTATCTATATGTTTTGTTCTGTAGTGATATACTGGATTTCTAACTAAATTTAACGTCCCTACATTATCTCCATTTATCATTATTTTATCAGGACAATCTATTTTAAGTTCAGACAAGAACTTTCTTAAATAAACAGCTTCTTTTGCTGCTGACGAAATAGCAATATACTCGGCTTCTTTGATTCCTATGAAAAAGCACTTCCAGCGAGCATAAACACGGAGCCAGTATACGATTTTCTTGTTTCTATATTACCACCCCAGTCAGCGTCAACATAAGCTATTACCTGTTGTCCGGTCTTTTGATACTGTAATCTATAATCTATCGTTTTATTTAGATACTTCAAAATTCTTTTCACTGCTGTCATATGCTCATAATGAGGATCCGTATTTTTCTGTGAGAGTTTACACACAGAGTGTAGTATATCAGGACGCAAACATATCACTAAATACATTGGTGATCCTATTAACGACTGGTAATCTTTTGAATCTACTCGCTTACAATTTTCATTGCTACATACTATCTTAAATTTCGGTTCTAATGGGGTAAAAACTGACCTACACTCTTTCATTCCATATCTATCTAACAATTCTCTAATTTGACCTTTCTGATGTATATTAATCTTACCTGTAGATCCTTCTCTTTCCATTTCAATGCTCAAAAACTTAGTAGCAGGTCCCTTGTCAACTACATCTACCCTTGCTGCAATATTTTACTTTATATCTTCCATTTCACTTAAGTCTGAACTTGCTATCAAAAAATCATCTACATAGACTGCAATCAAATGTATGTTGCCATTTTCGTTTCGCCTATATAAACATGGCTCACTAGCACACGCTAAAAATCCCATTTCCTTTAATATTTTATCTAACGTCCTATTCCATTGCCTGCCTGATTGCTTTAACCCATACTAAGCCTTTTTCATTAGGGTTCCTTTTGTCAACAAAACACTGAGGCTGTTACATATATATGTCTTCTTTTAAGTCGCTATTTAAATATGCTGTTGGCACTTCCATTTGATGCAAATGTAAATTATACTCTGCTGCAAGAGCTATAACCATGTCTCCGTATAATTTATTCCATATTCATGATCAAACCCTCTTGCAACCAATCTAGCTTTAAGTCGCTCAATTTGACCGTTGGAATAAGGTAAAAACCCACTTGCAGCCAATCACTCTTTGACCTGCTGGCAAATTACTCAATTCCCATGTTTCGTTTTTTATTAGCGAATTATATTCATCTTCCATTGCCTGTTGCCAATATTGGGAATGCTCACTTGACATAGCCTCTTCAACAGTATTTAGTACAACAATATCCTCAACCTTCATTAAATTCAAAACATTATACTGTTTCTTTGGTCTACCTGCTTTACCAGTCTTTACTATTTTTGGTCTACCTGTACCTATACGCGGCTTCTCTCACTTTTCATACTATGATCATCATTGTCATCACTCTTATGGTCGTGTTCCTTATAATACGACAAATTAATTTCTCCACCATTGGTAATCGGAATTCGCACTACATCCTTGTCATTAATTTCCTCTATGAAATACACATCGCGGCTTAACACTACCTTTCTAGTATGTTTATCAAACAAACGATGCGCCTTCGATGTCTCTGAATACCCTACAACCACATACTCTTCACCCTTTGCTCTAAATTTATGATGGTGTTTCTTATTCAGCGCTATTGATGTACAGCCAAAAATGTTTAAATGTTTTACTGCAGCCTTTTTATTATACCACATCTCATATGGCGTTGCCTTGTCGTCTAATGCTTTTGTGAGTGATCTATTTAGCAGGTACGCTGCTGTGTTTACAGCCTCTGCCCACAACGACTCATCTAGATTTGCTGCTACAAGCATAGACCTAGCCATTTCCACTAAAGTTCGATTGAACCGATCAGCCACACCGTTTTGTTGTGGCGTGTGTGGTACAGTGAGTTGCCTAACAATACCATGCTCTTTCAAATATGTATTAAAGTGGCTGTTTACAAACTCTGTGCCATTGTCCATCTCTTTGAACTCTTTAAATTTCTCAAATGTCTCATCTTTTGATTTGAGGAAATAAACAAAAACATAACGCGACATGTCATCAATAAATGTTAATAAATACCGCGAACCCCCAATTGACTGTTTATTTATTGGTCCGCAGAAATCAGTATGGACTAACTCTAATAAGTCTGTCGCTCTGCTCTCAGACTGCGTGAATGGCTTCGCTGTGCACTTGCTTTTCATGTAAACCTTACAATTTATTTCTTTAGGAAAATTTACTTTCATACCATGTACTAATTTTTCATCAACTAATTTCTTTATGCTATTAAAATTTAAATGTCCATATCGGTAATGCCATTTGAGAGCCTCATTATTATTCATAAAAAATTGTTTCTTTTTTTGATGTAAAATCGCCTACCTTTTTTGCGTACAGCACTGTTTTTCCTTTAGCATCAATGACTCTTGCTCCTTTACCATTGAATTTCACTGCCGCCTTATTTGCCACTCTGCCCACAGAAATAAAATTGCACTGCAGCTCAGGCACATACAGAACGTAGAAACACACTGCCTTTGCCTCTCGCCATAGACAAATGAAGATATAGACAACGAAAAGTTAGTTTTTATTTTTTATCCAGGTGACTCTCATCATGTTTTGCATAGTCAACATGCTGATTTACGCGTTCAACCCACTCGACTTCGAAAACACATTTCATCGTTTTTCAAGAATTTCACTTGATTATTCCGGAATTTTTTAATGTCATCACGTAATTTTCGCATTTCTTTCGGTGAGAGCATTTCGTTGTCTATATTTTCATTTGTCTATGCTCTCGCTATGATTTTGTTCTCGCCAGCCAAATTTATTTCTTCATTTTGATCTATAAATTTTCCTCTGTCGCAGCACAAATGAGTTGTAGCGAAACTGTCGACGCACCACAAGCTGGAGTTTAACACATTGTTGTTCTCATTCGTTGGTGCCAGCACACTGAATGACTGTGTGTGTGCTTTGCGCTCATCTTGCCTTTGTTGTTTTTGCATTGGGCAGCGAAATGCCCTTGACGTCCGCAACTGTAACACTTGCCATTTTGTTGTTGTTGTGCACATTCTTATTGCTTCGCTCATTGTTTTTGTTGTTGCTACCTGCGTGGAATTTTCTGAGACTTTCCTTGTTGTTATTTCTATAGAATTTTCTGGGGTGTTATTTTTTGCTGTGCGACACAAATGCATTTTCTGTTGCTACTACGTCACTGGAACCGTTTGCCTTTCTTCTTTCGCCTTCCTCAGCAAGCTTGATCTTTAATGCACTCAGACTGAGCAATTCGTCTCTGGTTTCCAAAGCCACCACAAAATTCTCAAACGACTTTGGCAAGCTTGCTAGCAGCACTATTACAAATAGCTCTTCTTGTAGCTCGATCCCGGTCTCTGCCAATTTGTCACTTACTGCTGGACACATTCAACCTCGCCCATACGCATGCCCAACAATTGCTTAAAAAGGGTGACTTTTCTTACCGGGCCTTTTGGTCTATATACATCTTTTAGGGTGTTTCATGCTTCCGCCGATGTTTTCCAGGTTTTTATGTAGGAGACCTGTCTTGCCGTTATACTCATGACTCGTTATCTTTTTCTGGTTTCTTGGAGGAACCGCTCATCACGTCCCAGCACTCCTGATGCACCAAAACCGCTTTAATCGTAAAGCTCCAGGAGTCATAATTTGCTTCGTCTAGCTTCTCTACGTTAATTCGATGGTCTTTACTGACACACAATTGTGCACTTATTGGCCTTTTTTTTGTCTCAAATGTTCCTTTTATATGTTGACATACTACAAAACGTTTTTATGGCCACACACAAAAATCTTTTTTTTTTCTTTGCAATCCACTTGGCCACACACAATTTGCCAATATTTTGTGGGCAAACACTTTTTGCAATGTTCCTTTTGGGCACCTGTTGTAAATTTTAATTTGTTTCCACTAATGTCCACTAACACCAGGTAGACAAATAAAACACTCGCGGACACTTTCGGTTTTTATTTAGGACTTTATTTCACACTTGTTAACTTTTAGGCAGACACTTTACAAACTGAGATAACTTTCCTTCTCTTCTCATGCTTATATATAAAATCTTTTCTAGATTGTTCTATACTAGATAATCGATGTTATTAGGTAACCGGAATTTACATGATCATATTTACATCATCACATGTAGGGGGAGCTGCACAAATATATGTGTTGCAGGGTTGTATTAAATTCACAATAACTGACAATGGAAGGTTTGAGAATTATTTCATCCAAGTGTTGAACGCCAATTGACTGGTCCCCAATGTGAAATATAATGTCCACCGAACTCACATCTCAATAAGCCCATGGGTGGCACGTGGCACCGTCTTATTGAAATCACATGCTCTTCCACCAAACTGTGACTCTGTGGTGTGCGCCTTTAAAAGGGGTAACCCTGAAAATAATTGATAGCTAGAAGAAGAAGAAAAATGTTGCCAACCATTACTAGGAAACAGCTGATTATTCCAATTACTGAAATGTCAATAAGGGGGAATAATGAAAAAAAAAAAAGAAAATGGAAAAATTAAATGAGGAAAATGGCAACCAGAATTTCCTGACAAAAACTGTAAGAAACTGTGTCCTTTTTGATTTTACCTGCGAAGAAGATTGGATGCGTGGCTCCCTGTAACCAGCAAAGAAAAAGCAGACAAAGTTTTTGGTGATGAATCACTTGTTGAGAAGTGAATTCAATGTTTTTATTTGTTTGAAACACATATACTAACAACACGAAATACAAACTTTTTTTAACAAAATTAGAGGCCTTAATATAATTAAGCAAAATTTAACAACAAAAGGCTAAAAGTTGAAAGAAAACTCATAACAAAACAAATAGTTTTCACAAAAATTGAAAATTAAAAGTAAAATTGAACTTTTTTTAAAATTAAACAAAGTTTGGAAACAATTTAACAAAATTGAAAAAAAAACCAAAACAATTAACTAAAAATCTAAAGCAAGAAAATAAATCTTAAACCTAAAAATTCATGAAGAATTGGAGCCTACAAGCCACACCATCGCCCATCCAATCCATCGAGGGAGCCGCTGATTTTGCGCCATTGCTAACCCAGCGTGGCTTGGTATTCCCAATCGACATTTAATACAAGAAACCTCGGACAGACAGGCGGACGACGAAGCATCATAATTAAATTCCGCGGTTTTTTCTGTAAAAAAGGAACCATATGAATTAGAAGGGGAAACAAATGAAGTCAATTTTAAATTTTAATCACCTTTTGGTTAGTCTGCAGGTACACGACATTGAACAGAGCTCTATTCAAGGTTAGGTAACCAGGCTTTTAATCCGTTCGTAGATTTTAAGTGCTATCGACACTCCACCTTTGTTTGCCTTTCCTGAAATTGAATGAAAGAAATATAATTAATAAAAATTTAACGTGGAATATAATTAAAAAAGCTAAACTTTAAAACAATACTTACGTACTTACTTGTTGGGAAGGACCACAAATGCAAGCTGCCTTTATTGCACCCTACTTTTTGTCATCAGAAAGCGCAGCCTAAAAGAAGAAAAAGGAAAGTTTTTTTTTGTAATTTTTGGCAAAATTGTATTTATTCATTGAATTGAATTCATTATTAAGTAGTAGTTTAAGTAGTTTAAATAAAATGTACCAATTTTATAATAAAAAGATAAATATGTCCTTGGCTTAAAGCCCTTTTTAAAAGGTGGTGGTAATGATATAAAATGTGGTAAGTCAAGGGTCAGATCTGGGACGTCAAGTATGAGTAGACGTCATGGCGAGAGGTGTTCTCGGAGGAAGGGCTATCTCCTGGCTGGTCAGCCGCCAGGAGCACTGTTTCTGTGGTGAAATCTAATGCAAGTTTGGAATTTGGTTGTAGTTAAGGTGAACGTTTTCTTTTTTTTACTTTTTTGTTGACATGTTTTAGGCTTCTTTTTACCCCTTTTTTAATTTAGTTTGAAGTCCGGTATGATTTTTTTTTGTTTGTTCAACCGAAAAGATCTGAAAGTGGCAAGAACCAACCCCCAATCCGACGAGCCATAGCCGCGCTAAACGCCAGCATATCGCCAACGCAACTTAATGGTCAACACAGCGATTTCATTTCGTTTTTCTAGAACACGGTTGTTACAAAATGGCGCCCAACGTGGGGCCTGCGACATGTCGTTAGTTTTAATAATTGTTAGTCGTAGTGTATAAATGTGTTTACCGTGAATCTTAAATGAATCCCGTCTAGGTTTAATTAAGAGTCCCCGACGCGTTGCCTCATCGAAGACTCGGGTAAACATCACTTATATTTGGAAAATATGATTTTTAGTTTTTTTCTAGTGGCTTAGGCGTTCTAGTTTAATACTTCTAATTGCACTAGCATTTTAATAAAATTTCATATTTTAGTAAAGTTAAAATTTCAGATTTCTTAGAGTTATAACGTTAAAAGAATTCGTCTGGTTTAACAGTTCTCATTTGTGGAGACCCGTCTAAGCAGCCGATTAAAAGGCAGGTGACGCGCTGCTATGCAAATATGAACTGTTATTCTCAAACGAATTTGTTGATTTGGGTTTTTTAGATTTTAGTTTCTGTCTATATTTAATTTCAGTACCCGGAATTTGGTAGCTGATCTCAGACTTACCTAGAGTTTCCATTCGGTGCTTCGACAATTTTGGCTTCCGACCATTGGTCGTATTGTCATGGAACCTCTTGAGGGATGTCTGAGTAAGCCGCCTTTTCCATATTCCATTTTAATTCTTCAGTTCGTTTTTAGTCCATTTCAATTCCAGTTTTGCCAGTGTAACTCACCAAATCCCAGTAGAAAAGTGAAACATTTTAGAATTCATACAGAAACAGTTTATTTGATCTTGACTTACCATTGTTTTGACCAGAAATCCACCACATAACATTATTTGAATTTTTCTAGTTTTTTTTTTCATCAAAATTATTCTGCCGGATAATAGAATTTGTATGCCTGTAAAAGTGAAAAGTGTGAATTAATGGTGAAAGAACTGAATTACATTCAATTGATTTTTTTAGTTTACTTACCATAATTGTTTTTTATTTTTTTCTTTAATTAAAACCACCGTGTGGTTTACTTTCGAGCAAATCCTTTGGCAGATTTCATTTTGATTTTTTTTTCTCGCCTTTTCGGAGTTTTTTATTAACTAAGTTTGTTATATCAAGTAGCAATATGCCTCTTACTAGAGCTGCGAGTGCAAGTTTGGCAGGTAGACCGATATTAGGGCAAAATGGGGTGGTAACCACTACCGAAGCTACAGCCGTAAGCAGTGTTGTTACCGCGGTTCACAGCGCTCCTTCAAACGCACAACAGGTTACAACTGCCGCATAGTGGTCCCATTGCTTCTCATATTGCACATTTAGCACATGGGGACGTCCCAGCTCAAGGTATTTCAGTCACAACATCACTGTCAAGTTCATCGGCACCGACACCAGTTCCCTTAAGCATGCAAGATACCGCTAACTCGTTTAACACGTCTTTTTGGTCGCATGGAAGCGTTGCATCACCAAACTATAGTGTTTTGACCGGGTTGCAGAATAGACCGATTGTTCCGCTAGCAGACCCAGCAGTCAGCGCAGGAGTCAGGGAAATTATTAATTCTGCCATCGCCCTGTCCCAATTGCAATACCGTCAACAGGAAGAAGAAAGATTGTGAGTTCTTATACCCAGAATTGCGGAAGCGACCAAGCGTTCGTTGTTGGGGGATAATGATGCGGCTAATCAGCTGTTTTCACAAGCCGGTTTGGCGATGCCAGCAGCGGCACCACATGTACCAGCCCAGACATCCTTGGAGTCAGTCGTTCTGTCCTCACATGCATTGGCGTCAGGCTTAACGTCTCAGCAGCCTAATTTAGCAAAGGGCTACCCACTACCATATCCAGAGCGAGTAATTCCACCACCGATTCACGATCCTAGACCGTTGTCACTTGGTCCTTTTAACCAACCGCCACCAGGATTCTCATCAAGTGGTGCACCAGCACAACCACCAACAAGCTTATCGGTACCACCACCAGTCACCGAAATCCAAGCTCACACAATACCGCCGACCGAGAGGTTGCCTAATAGTGATGGACAAATTTCCTTGCTTTACCAAGTATGGCTTGGGAAAGACTAAAGTTGAGGTCCATTCAATCGACACTCGCGATGCAGCCCCGGTGAAAGATAGGCATTATCCTAGAGCTGTCAAACTATCGATATTCGTCCCATTCGATAGTTTCGATAGTTTGTTGTAAAACTATCGATACTATCGATAGTATCGGATATGTAACCAGCGCAATTATGAATGAAAATTTCTCCCTTTAAAAAATCCTCAGGAACAATTCACCAATTCAATTTCCAATTTTCCAACTCAATTTTTCAAATAATTTTTTTCATTAGGAATTTTTATTCATAATTGGACTGAATATTGCATTTCTCGCCTGGTTAGTGCAGCATGACGAATTTGACTAGTATCTAAAGTCATATGGAGTTTTTCGAGCCTCGGAGACTAATATTGGGAGGGATATTTTGTATAGAGGCGAGCCTAATATGGGGAGGGATATTTTGTAAGACATACAAGAAACAGATGGACAGATTCGAATTCGTAACATTCTTTCAGATGTTACAATCACCAACACTTAGTCATATAACGCAACGGTATAGGACCGGTTATTGTGGCCGGAAAGGCAATATGATTAAATCATGTTTACTGATTATCTACAAATCAGTATTATTTTTCCTGAAGAACAAATTACCAATATATTTTAAACAACAATATAACATTTTTTGTTCAAGAATATAAAAAGGAAAAACAAAAGCGCTAAGAGCAATGACTTAGTAAATTCATGAGATCATTGAATGAACTATATATCTGTGGTCACAAGCAATAACCGCCTAAGTCGACTTAAGAAAGATCTGAGATATGTACGCTATCTTATTGAACTAACAAAACTAAACATGTGCGTGAAATCCCCATTTCTCTAGCAAAATTATTTAAAAAGCTATAAGTAAAAACATATTGACATAAATCGTAAAGAATCATGTTTCATGTTTCTATAATATATTAATTTTAATAAATAGCCTATAATGGGTTAAGCTGTTTTTGCATATTTTTTGTAAATCGTATTGCAATAAACAAGAGAGTTTGCATAAGAGCTTATGTAGAGATAAATGAATATTGCAAATTGAGAATGATTAAGAACACCGTCTATCTCTACATAAAATATTATTGCATATAGCTTAGTATGCTAGAAAGAGAGCAATATCTACATAAGCGAAAATTGCACATGGCGTATGCTCTCAGATTTTGTACAAATTGCAGTTAGGCTTTTATAATAAAAGCATTGTGTCAAATTGATTTCAGTTAAGCCATTTGGTCTAAACGTACAGAAGAGAATAAGAGTGTTTATAAAAAAATATTAAAATATAATTCGGTGAAAAATAAAGAAATATAATATGGAGAACAGTGAAAAGAAGCAGAAAGTAGATTATGTAACAGGTAAGAGAATGGTAAACAAAATAAAAAAAACTGTATTACTTAGTTGTTTTGTAGTTTTTTGAAAAACAAAAATTCTTTGCAAGACAACGATGAAAGTCGCATGTCTTTTTCAGAAAGCAGTAATGCTGAATTGCCAATCAATTTTTTTTCTACCCAACTACATACTGAAGCTGAAGAAGATAAGTCAATTAATCATGATGAATGTTTTGCAGGCATGAACATAAAATTCAAGAAACCTCAACTTGACACTTGTTCTTACTGCGATAAACTTAAAGCTAAAATTAGTATTTGCAAACAGGAAGCGGATGCTATTCTGTTAGGCGATTTAGAAAATGATCTCACAACTCATCAAAGTTAAGCAAATTTAGCGTACGAATCGAGAAGGAATCACAAAGTTTTAGCCGCCAATGACTCAACAATCAAAATATTTACTTTTGATTTACAGCAGTGTTTGACTACACCATTCTTAAGAAACTCAATAAGTTTTTAAAAAGGCAACTTTGGAGGTATAATTTAACCATTCATGACTGCATAACTGGTACCCCACATTGCTTTATGTGGCATGAAGCGTTATCTGCTCGTGGTGGCAACCAAATTGCATCGTGCTTGTTCAAGTTTTTAATCAATCTTGAATAAGTTAATCACACTATTTTTTATAGCGATTCCTGTGTGGGACAAAATAAGAACTCATTCGTATGCGCAATTTTTAGAACCTGTAATAGAAAGGAAAAAGAAAAGGACAGACACTCAAACACAACATCCTCACGACTGGTACAATTTTGTTAGATGTGTAGGTACTAAACATAAATTTAAAGTCGTTGAAATGAATTCAGAAGATTTTTATAATTTTTCGCTATTATTAAAAACAAAGTTAATGTGGAGAAACACTAATCAAAATGGTGAGAGATTTGTTTGGAAAAATATTAGATGGCTAAGATATAGAAAAACTAATTTTGGAAGAATTGAATATAAAACCACATTAGATATAAATGCTCCCTTCCAAATTTTAAATTTGTATAAACGCGGTATTAATTCAATGAAGAGAGACGACTTATATTTACTAAACGAGTGTGTCAAAATCAGCGAAAAAAAGAAAAAAATATCTGCTTGCTTTACTTCCATTTATAAACACATTTTTTCATCCTTTTTATAAAAGTTTACAAACACAGGACTGTATTTATGTACATCCAGACTTAGTCGAAGATGAGCCAGACATAGATTATATATTCTTTTTTTATATATTCTTTTAACCTTCCAACGGTTTTGGTGGTAAGTATGTACATCTGTAATTAGGTTAAGTTTTCTTAAAATAAAATTTATGGAAAAATAATGCACTTGTTATGTATGAGTAGTTCGTTTTATTTTTTTCAACATGAACTATAAATAATCAAAAGGCCTAAGTTCAGTACGAGAAAATTTTCAATATGCAGTACCCGCCTAATTCGATATATGTCAGGCAACAAATGCAATATTACTTTACAATAAAGACATAAGTCGAGATACTCTTTGCAAATTCCCATTTTCCATTTGCAATAACCATATATGTTTTTGTTTTTTAAATATCTTCTAAGTACATGAGATTTCCACTACCGTTTTTATTCTTAGCATTGTCTGTTTAATAATCTTTGATTTAGCATAAAATTTTTCCTCATTCTCTTTCCTAAGTTTTTCAGAAACTCCTTTGTATATAAAAAGTGATTTTTCTCCAAAGCATGATTTTCGACTTAGGCTGTTATTGCTTGTGACCACAGATATAGTGCTTTAAGGCGAATCCATAAAATTACATTTAAAATTAAAATACGTTCTATTAAAAATAAATATTTTTAAATCCATCTTTCGTTTTTTCAAAAAAGGCCCATGCTTCTGATGACATCTTTCTTGTTCTTATTTTTTCAAATCCAATATCAGATTCACTACCACTGTTGATATTGCCAATATCAATTACATTTTCTTTGCTGGCTGAGTCTGCTATATACGTTGTTAATAAAATGTTAATACACACAAATAACGAACAGGTCATTAATTAAATCTTACTTTTTGATCTTTTCAGGAACTTCTCCATGATTTGTAGAACCGTCAACTTAAATATAATTATAACTTAGCTGTTGTTTATTTCTCTTACCCAAAAAGTCGCAGCGTCACAACATATGCGTAAGTGATGACATTTTGCCGATACTATCGATAGTGATTAAAAACTATCGATATTCGCTAAAAAAAAAATAAACTATCGATACTATCGATATTGCTTTCGATAGTTTGACAGCTCTACATTATCCCGTTTCCCCGGCTGTGCAGAAACTTAGGTATGCGGAATTGGATAGGATGATAGCGCTAGGTGTGATTGAAGAGAGCGAGAGTCCATGAAGTCATCCGGTTACTCTAGTCCGAAGGGGTGAAAAGAACCGTTTGTGCCTGGACGCTCGCAAACTCAATGCACTGACAGTCAAGGACGCCTAACCATTGCCGCATATAGAAGGTTTACTCAGTCGGCTGGGGGATACCTATTTCATTTCTAGTGTCGACCTGAAGGATGCGTTCTGGCAAATTCCACTGGATCCTTTAAGTAGAGAGAAAACTGCATTCACAGTGCCCGGACGACCGCTTTACCATTTTACCGTCATGCCCTTTGGTCTGTGCAATGCAGCCCAAAGGTTATGCCGTTTAATGGATAAAGTGATCCCTGGCGCACTACGTGATAGGGTTTTCGTCTACTTGGATGATCTTTTGGTTGTTTCGCCAGACTTCGACACTCACCTGGGTTTGTTAGAGCAGGTTGTTTGGCCAAAGCAGGACTCACAATAAATGTAACCAAGTCGAACTTCTGCTTCAAAGAGCTTAGGTACTTGGGTTACATTGTTGGAGGTGGCAAACTTAAAACTGATCCGGCAAAGGTGGAAACAATAGTGAAGTTTACATACCCGAAAACAGCAAAGCAGGTGAGAAGTTTCTTGGGTACGGCAGGGTGGTATCGAAGGTTCATTGCCGACTTTGCCACCATTGCGGCTCCCATCTTCGAGACCCTCAAGAAAGGTAAACGATTCACGTTCACAGAGGAGGCCAAGGTTGCATTCGACAGATTGAAACAAGCCCTTGTAAGTAGTCCTGTCCTGACACACCCAGACTTTACCAGACATTTCTATGTGCAATGCGATGCCTCAGACTTGGGAATAGAGCAGTTTTATTTCAAAGAGACGATGAGGATGGAGAACATCCCATAGCCTATTTCTCGCAAATGCTGACTTCTGCTCAGAAAAATTACTCGGTGACTGAGAGAGTGCTTGACAGTGGTGATGGCCATTAAAAAATTCAGGCCATATATAGAATTGATGCCTTTCACAGTTATAACTGACCATAGAAGTTTAAAATGGCTCATGTCACATCGAGATCTGAGCGGAAGGTTAGCTAGATGGAGCCTACAGTTGCAGGCATATTCTTTTGAGATAGAGCACAGTAAAGGAACCCAGAACATAGGACCCGATACTTTGTCAAGGTATGATATGGAGGAGATTTCTCTCGATGTGAAGGCCTTAATCGATCTTGATTCCTTAGCTTTTAAAGCAGATGATTATTTAGCCTTAATAGAAACCATCGAAAATAATTCTTCACAACTTCCCGATCTAAAAGTGGTTGATGGTTTGGTATATAAACGAACTCAATTCTACGACGGAGTTCCCCTTAATGAAGATTTCGCCTGGAAGTTATGGGTACCCAGCGAATTTACCCAGCAAATCATTGAAAAAGCACACTGTCCACCACAAGTTTCTCATGGAGGTTTCCACAATACTCTTGGTAGGGTAAAAGAGTACTTTTTCTGGCCAAATATGAATACTCAAGTTAGCAATTTTGTACAAAATTGTGATATTTGTAAAGAGACAAAACCAGCTAATTCGACTCTTCGGCTATCTATGGGATCAGAGACTATTACAGAAAGGCCCTTTCAACGAATTTATGTAGACTTCTTAGGTCCTTATCCCAGAACCAAAACGGGAAACAGTTTTATTTTTATTGTGGTAGACCACCTTTCAAAATACGTTTTGCTAAAAGCCATGGCCAAAGCAAATTCGAAAAATATAGTAAAGTTTTTAATTAGTGAAGTATTTCATAAATTTGGAACCCCAGAAGTAATAGTGTCTGATAATGGGAAACAATTTATTAGCAAAGAATTTTCTCATATGATTAAACTTTTTGGTATAAACCATACCAAAAATGCGTTTCACTCTCCGCAAGCAAATGCCTCGGAGCGGGTAAATCAATCTATTTTATCAGCGATTCGGTCATATCTGGGAGAAGATCACCAAGAATGGGATCAAATTTTATCAGAGATAGAATGTTCTCTGCGATCTTCTCTCCATAGTTCCATCGGAACTAACCCTTATTTTGCGCTCTTTGGGGTCAATATGATAAATCATGCCAGTCTTTATAAATTAGCCAGGAAACTTAAGCTTCTTAATGACCCCGAGACGACACTCATTCCAAACTCGGTTAAACAGGATCTTATCAGAGAAAAGGTAAGAAATAGTCTGCACCAGGCATACTTGAGAAATGAAAAGTCTTATAATCTTAGAAGTCGTCAGGTCAGGTTTCAGGCAAAGTGATTTTAAAAATAATTATAATGCTAAACTTGATAAAAAAAATTTTCAAGTGTCACATTGTTAAGCCAGTTGGGAAATGCCTTTACGAAGTAGAAGATCTTAAAGGGCATTTTTCACGCTAAGGATTTGAAGCAATAAATGCTTAAGAATTGAAAAATTTAATTTTTCTTCTAATTATTTTTTTTTTCTTTTTACATATATAGCGACCGAAGTCTAAAGCATATATATGAGGATAGAAATTATTTTTTTTGTTCAGTTAATTTAAGTTCAGTTTTAAAATAAAGCGGAGATTTCAGAATGAAATATAAATCCGCAACTTCTATACGAAAATATTTAACAATTTACTCTTAATTCTATCTTAATTTAAAGTTACCCTAATTTTAAAGTTATTCCAATACTCACCTAAATTTTCCAAGAGTTCCGGAAGATCCAATTGAATTTTGTTGAAGTAGTACCTGAATTGAAGAAAAAAAAATACAAATTTTATTACAATTATTTAAGATATAATATTAAGAGGACTAACCTGAATTACAACTTACGAAATATCCTTTTATTATTCCTGAATTTTTACAAGCTGTAGGACAGCTTTTCCTTCATGAGTGATGTGTAGTTGTGTGTATGGTTAAAGGTTGAAACCCATTTCTCCAGTTTTTTATCATAAAGTAAAAGAAAGAAAAAATATGAATTAGTGAAATATCATTATGTAGGATTATAGGCAAAAAAATATTAGAAAAAATTAAATATAAAAATAAATAAAAATGAACTTAAAAAAAGAAATAATATGTAAAATGTCAATCTTAGGCCATACTTACAAAGGGGTTTGGCTGAATTTTTTTATAAAATTTATGTTTATAAACAATAGAGTTCTCATAATTTTTCTCAATTTTTCAGAACAAAATTACGAAAACTACGAAATAGAATTAAAACTACAACTTACGTTCATTTCTGAAGCGCCGACCGTAGTCCAACCACAAGTCTCGGCTAGAATATTTGGTAAAGTTCGGAACCCTGTTTTTTTCCATCCGAACAGGAGTCCAATCTTCTAGACTCTAGCAGCAGATGTCAGAATTGTGAAGTCAGAGTACGAATTAAAGCTTTCTGGGTTTACCGACTCTAGTTGATGTCTGCGCATCCGGAGCAGTGACCTGGTGACTGTCTTTGACCATTAGTGCAATTCCCCTTTCGCGGTGAAGCAGTAGCCGTTCGCTGTTTGGCACGGGCCAGGGAACTGTTGTACACGAGGTCGCAGATCCGTCCTTCACCCGACTTACGACACTAGAGTCTGGAAGCCAGAAGACAAAAAGAACAAATACACCTAAGTGCATTTGCAAACCATCGTATCCGACATTCTGACAAAAGATGAAGGTCTAGTCGATGGTACACCTGTTGGAGAAAAAAGGAGAACAGGATTATTCGAACTTACCATCAAGTATAATTTCCTGGTCTCACAGGACAGGCAAATTAAATCGCCTGTGGGTAAATAATGTCTGGAAAGATAATAAAGGAACTTATTAATATTTTTATAAAATTTTCAGCATTTATATATCTACTTACCTTTTGTTAATTAGATATCCAATTTAAGTAAATTCTCGAGTAGTCTTTTGCACGTTGAGACCATGGAAAACTTTTTCTTGCAACCATAGGAGCCCACTCGCCTAGACACCAACAAAGCAATGGTCAGAAAGAATTCGTTGGATTACGAACTTAAGCATAGCAGATTTACCGACTCTAACAATATGTCTACGATTCCTGAGCAGTCACGTTGTGACTGTCCTTGACCATTTGTGCACTCTTCCTTTATATTCCCATACGCAACTATGGCACAAGGCAGAAGAGTGTTGTACACAAGGTCGCACAGCTGTCAGTCATCGATTTATGACGTTAGAGTCTGGAAGCAGGAAGACAAAACCAAACACACCTAAGTATATTTGGAGTAATGTCGTATCCAACATTCTGACCAAAGCTGAGGTCCTAGTTGATGGTACCCCTACGGAAAAAGAAAACACCATGTTCAACTCACCTTTATTTCAGTATAAACTCGTGCAGTCAGCAATCTGTAAAGATAAGAAAAAGAAAATAAGCATTAGTTCTGTGTGACTATGATTTAAATTAAAACAAATAGAGCATTTATTTATTTTTGTAAATTTCTTTATTTCTTTCAATTAAATTCCGTTAAAATTTCAAATTATTTCACTTTATTCGTCAGATCAAATTCAATTTCTTTATATCTTATTTCCAGTAACTTATTCGTTGATTCACAATAATTTTTAAATTTCATTGCTTATTATTTTCTTTAATTTTTACGACATTTTTATACTTTTTTTTTAAATCTTGCAAAAATTTCTATTGCAATGAATTTTTTTTTTACATTTTGTTATGAAAAATAAACACAATAGCTGCACTCCTTTTTTTTAAGGTCCGTCCGATTTGTATAACTTTCTTACTTTTATCTTTAATAATTTTCTTTTTATTTAATTTTTTTATATCAAAATTCAGAATATTTCACATAATTTTTCACTTAAAATTTACAGAAGTCAAATTTTACATTTAAAAAAAAAATATATAATTTTTTATAAATTCACAATAGTATTTCAATTTCATTCACTTTAATTTTTTATTAATTTTTTTAGATATTGATTTGCACAGTTCTTAATTAATAAAAATTACTTTTTTAAGTTTTTTTTAAATCTGGCAACTTTTTAATTTTTTTTATTTTCAACTGAATTTTTCGTCATTAAAAATAAACTATTATGTCCGTCCGATCACTGAAACGCTAGATTCTTTTTCCACTTATTTGTCAGATTCCAGTTTCAATATCTTCAATTTCATTAAAGTATTTTATAAAATTTAATGAAGGTTTTTCATTAGTAGTTCCACTTTGTTTTCCCTTTTATTCATTTGGGTTTAATTTTTTTAATTTTCATTAGGCACAGTATCACCTTATTTGCACTTTTGTTTTGATTCCACAATTTCTTCCTTCCTTTAAATTGCACCATTTTCCTCCATAATTATTTATTGTTCCGTACTTAGAGTTTATTTTTCATTTCGCTCTCTTTCTTTTATTCTTTTCCTTCGAAATCATTGTAACAGATTTTCGAAGTTTAATATTTCCGCCAAAATCACGTTTCACTGAATGATTGCAATTTGTATGCAATTTCTTTTAATCAGCCGATCACTCACACACACACATACACTTGATGGAAATCATTTATTTATTTATTTTTTTTTTTTTTTTTTTTTTTTGTTAGAAAATTAAATTAATTTCAGGAAATTATGTGTATTAATGTTTCAGTAGAACCACTTTATTATTATTTTTCCTTTTATTCTTTTAATTTTCTTTATTATTTTCTAAGATTTATACCGATTAATTTTTCATGCAACTATTTGCAATTTACTATTAACACATACACCCGCACTGTATGTCACTGATGATTTTCATTAATTTCTTTTGCGCTCTACTTACCCAAAATTTTATAATTTCTGCAGCTCCAAAATTTTCCGTCCGTCCGTGCTCCAATCCGCCAAAAAAAATTACAATATACGCGTACTCCGATTGTTTTCATTCATAAACGTCACTACTATCGATAGTCACTACTATCGGTAGTCACCTTACGTCAGACTAAACGATAACGCAAGGCGTATGACGTAAACATTATACCATGTTCCTACGGGCTAATGGAGCTTTGTACTGGGATAACTAAATCAGTCCAAAATTAAATTTTATTTTGGAAAATCAGTGTTAGGGATGCCAGACCGCGATTATTAGGGATGCCAAACACCGATTTTTTTAAATACCGATTTTTTTAAATGGATTGATAGATTTTTTTGCATTTTTAAACCAAAGGTCGCACGCCTTTAAAAGGGGTAACCCTGAAAATAATTGATAGCTAGAAGAAGAAGAAAAATGTTGGCAACCATTACTAGGAAACAGCTGATTATTCCAATTACTTAAATGTCAATAAGGGGGAATAATGAAAAAAAAGAAAATGGAAAAATTAAATGAGGAAAATGGCAGCCAGAATTTCCTGGCTAAAATTGTAAGAAAAATCTGTCCTTTTTGATTTTACCTGCGAAGAAGATTGGATGCGTGGCTCCCTGTAACCAGCGAAGAAAAAGCAGACAAAGTTTTTGGTGATGAACCACTTGTTGAGAAGTGAATTCAATGTTTTTATTTGTTTGAAACACATATTCTAACAACACGAAATACAAACTTATTTAACAAAATTGGAAGCCTTAAAATAATTAAGCAAAATTCAACAACAAAAGGCTAAAAGTTGAAAGAAAACTTATAACAAAACAAAAAGTTTTCACAAAAATTGAAAATTAAAAGAAAAATTGAACTTTTTTTAAAATTAAACAAAGTTTTAACAAAATTGAAAGGAAAAAAACCAAAACAAATAACTAAAAATCTAAAGCAAGAAAATAAATCTTTAACCTAAAAATTCATGAAGAATTGGAGCCTACAAGCCACACCATCGCCCATCCAATCCATCGAGGGAGTCGCTGATTTTGCGCCATTGCTAACCCAGCGTGGCTTGGTATTCCCAATCGACATTTAATACAAGAAACCTCGGACAGACAGACGGACGACGAAGCATCATAATTAAATTCCGCGGTTTTTTTCTGTAAAAAAAGGAGCAATATGAATTAGAAGGGGAAACAAATGAAGTCAATTTTAAATTTTAATCACCTTTTGGTTAATCTGCAGGTACACGACGTTGAACAGAGCTCTATTCAATGTTAGGCTTTTAATCCGTTTGTAGATTTTAAGTGCTATCGACACTCCACCTTTGTTTGCCTTTCCTGAAATTGAATGAAAGAAATATAATTAATAAAAATTTAACGTGGAATATACATAATAAAAAAAGCTAAACTTTAAAACAATACTTACGTACTTACTTGTTGGGAAGAACCACAATTGCAAGCTGCCTTTATTGCACCCTAATTTTTGTCATCAGAAAGCGCAGTCTAAAAGAAGAAAAAGGAAAGTTTTTTTTTTGTAATTTTTGGCAAAATTGTATTTATTCATTGAATTGAATTCATTATTAAATTTGAACGCAAACGTTAAAATTAGCATGTAATTTTTTCTACGAATTGTTATTTGGGTATTTAAAGTAGTTTATATAAAATGTACCAATTTTATATAGAAAAGATAAATATGTCCTTGGCTTAAAGCCCTTTTTAAAAGGTGGTGGTAATGATATAAAATGTGGTAAGTCAAGGGTCAGATCTGGGACGTCAAGTATGAGTAGACGTCATGGCGAGAGGTGTTCTCGGAGGGAGGGCTATCTCCTGGCTGATCAGCCGCCAGGAGCACTGTCTCTGTGGTGAAAACTAATGTAAGTTTGGAATTTGGTTGTAGTTAAGGCGAACGTTTTCTTTTTTTTACTTTTTTGTTGACATGTTTCAGGCTTCTTTTTACCCCCTTTTTAATTTAGTTTGAAGTCCGGTATGATTTTTTTTGTTTGTTCAACCGAAAAGATCTGAAAGTGGCAGGAACCAACCCTCAATCCGACGAGCCATAGCCGCGCTAAACGCCAGCATACCGACAACGCCACTTAATGGTCAACACAGCGATTTCATTTCGTTTTTCTTGAACACGATTGTTACAACTCTTTTGGATGCACTGATCTTCACCCCAAAATCGACAACTTTGCCTAAGTACGTACCCAGCAAAAAACCAGTAAAGAAAATCTTAAAGCTGGGCGGTGCCGAGTTTATGATATCCTACACCACTTTGCAGCTTCAAAGAGCTTCACATAACAAATAAAAGTTTTAATGGGGAAATTGTGAGGATTGGATCATACCAACTATGATAATAGTAATAATTAAAATCCAAAGGAACTAATATATGAGAGGAATATCCTCCTCTGAATCTATTTCTACTGAATTTGTCGAGGCATTTGCGCCTTTTCATTTCCGGCTTGTATTATCCATTTGGTGCACAATTAACTTGTGATGAACAATATGTATGGGAGCTATAGCTATATCTGAACCGATTTCCACCAAATTTGATCTACTGGTTTTAGACTCAATTTGGTCGTGAGTACCAAATTCACAATAAAAGGCAAATCGGACATCGGATCGGATAAAAGGCAAATCGGACGAAAATATATATGGGAGCTATATCCAAATATTAACCGATGTCGATAAAATTTATCAAGGGTATTTTTGAGTTGCATTTGATATATTTCCAAAAATATTGTTGTTACAGAGTGCATATTACGGCTGCGGAGGACAAAACAAATCGGATGAACAATATGTATTGAAGCTATATCTATATCTGAAACGGTATCGATCAAATTTGGCATACTTATTTTCCGGTCCAATCTGGTCGTACGTGCAAAATTCTATACTATTCGGGCTGATATTACACGTTTGGTGCACAATATAAGGCAAATCGAACGAAAATATATATGGGAGCTATACCTAAATTTTTGACCGATTATTTCAATAGGACTCGTCCATGGGTCAAACAAATTATTTGTGCAAAAATTCATCTGAATCGGGCCATTTATTGCCCTGTACTTTGTTTACAAAAATACATGGACAGACGGACGGACGGACGGACATGCATAAATACATAAATCGACTAAAACAAAACACGAAACTTGGCATTGTTGCCAAAAGGGTAATAGCTAAAAAACGAAAAAAAATAATCTTCAATATTTTTACAACCGATATTTGGCGACAAATTCTCACCAACAACACTATTAAAGTCAACAGAGAACATGAAAACTAAGAATCTATTAAAATAAACTGAGTTCAAGAAATCCGAACTCAATCTTCTATTATAAAGGCCTAGCAGAAAAGACACCTCCAGAAATTTCAAAACCAACTAAGTTAAAAATTCATTACATTATTAAAATAATAAAAAATCCAAACGAATTTCCATCAAACTTCCTCATCCCAAAAAGCAAAAATTATAACAATTTCAATTGTCATTTTAAAAATTAATTTAATAGAAAAATAACATTTACAAAACAAAAAGAGGTATTGCTTAAAACTATATAATGGAGAACTCTTGGGTTCATTTCAAAAATTGAAAAAAAAAAACAATATTGAAACAATAAATTTTGCCAATGGGAAGGAAGAAAGGAAGTTTCGCCGTAAAAAATAACATTTAAATATTTTTTTTTTGTCTTTTTTGTTTGGTTTTAGGTTATTTAATTAATTAAAGCAATCACAATTTGCACTTGTTTTATGTCTTTTTTATTTTATTTATTTAGATTTTTTTTTGTTATTTCTCCAAAGATGATCTTCTTAAGTATTCAAAATATTTTATGAAAAAAATAAAAACATGTAAAATCTTCTTAATTAAAATGAAACACTTTACAACTCATCCCTCGGATGGGTTGGATCAGCGGACAGGTTCGGGTCGAACACATGCAGTATGCAGTCGCCAACCAACAGCCACCGACACTGGCACCACTTGGCAGCGGTGTCAGCCGTGGCCAATGGTAGGGCGGGCTGGGCATGGATTCCCCTCATCCGCCCGCCGGATGAACCAACCGTTATGGGATTTTCATTATCAAAAAAAAAAACTTAAAACATTTTTGTGGTTAAAACTAAAAAATGTTAAATTTCATAAAGATTTGTAACTGATGTTGGTGCTTTGTTGTTGTTCTTCTTATTGTTGTTGTTTTGGTATTGGTATTGGTTTGGGATATACACATTCCCCATGTAGAATAAAACTAAAAAAGATTAAGTGGATGTGTGCTGTTGTTGTTCTTTTTCTTCTTGTTGTTGTTGATGTTGTTGGTTTAGATGGTGGTTGAATGTTGTTGGTGTTGTAGTTGTTGCTGATGTTGTTGTTCTTGTTGTTGTTGTTATTATTCTTGATGTTTTTGAAATATATAAATAATAATAATATTAATAGCGTATAAATAAACTTATTGAGGTTGTGGTCTTGGCTAGGCGAGCTTGTCGAAATCTTTTGCGGGCGAAAAGACTTAGAAGCACTTGCGGTGCACAATACCGGGGCCAGATTCATCGTATTCCTGCTTCGAGATCCACATCTGTTGGAAAGTGGACAAGGAAGCCAAGATGGAGCCACCGATCCAGACGGAGTACTTTCTTTCTGGTGGGGCAATGATCTTAATCTTAATGGTCGATGGAGCCAAGGCAGTGATTTCCTTTTGCATACGATCAGCAATACCGGGGTACATGGTGGTACCGCCAGACAATACAGAGTTGGCATACAAGTCCTTACGGATGTCGACATCACACTTCATGATCGAGTTGTAGACAGTCTCGTGGATACCGCAAGATTCCATGCCCAAGAACGAGGGCTGGAAGAGGGCTTCAGGGCAGCGGAAACGTTCGTTGCCAATGGTGATGACCTGACCGTCGGGCAATTCATAGGACTTCTCCAATGAGGTGGAGGCAGCGGCGGTGGCCATTTCCTGTTCAAAGTCCAAAGCAACATAGCACAACTTCTCCTTGATGTCACGGACAATTTCACGCTCGGCAGTGGTGGTGAAGGAGTAGCCACGTTCGGTCAAGATCTTCATCAAGTAGTCGGTCAAATCGCGACCAGCCAAGTCCAGACGCAAGATGGCATGTGGCAGAGCGAAACCTTCATAGATGGGCACAGTGTGGGAGACACCATCACCAGAGTCCAAGACAATACCAGTGGTACGACCGGAAGCATACAGAGACAACACAGCCTGGATGGCAACGTACATGGCTGGCGAGTTGAAGGTCTCAAACATGATTTGAGTCATCTTCTCGCGATTGGCCTTGGGGTTCAAGGGGGCCTCAGTCAATAATACTGGATGTTCTTCGGGGGCGACACGCAACTCATTGTAGAAGGTGTGATGCCAGATCTTCTCCATGTCATCCCAGTTGGTAATGATGCCGTGTTCGATGGGATATTTCAATGTGAGAATACCACGTTTGCTCTGAGCCTCATCACCGACATAGGAATCCTTTTGACCCATACCGACCATTACACCTTGATGGCGGGGACGGCCGACAATGGAGGGGAACACAGCACGGGGAGCATCATCACCGGCGAAGCCAGCTTTGCACATGCCCGAACCGTTGTCAATGACCAAAGCACCAGCATCATCATCACACATTTTGGCAGTAGTTTAGAGTGTCTGCGATGGGGCGCGAGAGTGAGAAAGAGAGAGAGAGAGCGCGCGGAGAGTAGTTGAGTAGTTGAAAGAGAAACGAGAGGGAGAAAAATAGATAGATTAGTATTGAAAATTTTATTATTGAGAATTTCTCCTTGATTTTGAACTTTGTAAGTTACGGTGTGGTGAATTTGTTAAATATTTTTATATTCACCCACCATGGAGTGGTGGGTATATTTTTCGAAATTCAAAGAATCATTTTACAGCTATAAAGTATAGGATTTTTTTTTTGGATTCAAACTTTTGTGAAGACAATAATTGCCTCAAAATTAATTTTCTCTTCAAGTGGTCCTTATTTTCAAAAGATATTTTATTCTAACCGATTTTTTTTTAAATTTTAATTCACAACGATTTTAAGAGCTTGGAATTTATTCATTGCCTTTCTGAGCATTTCGGCATTCTGTGTTCTAATTGAGTGAGAATTTTGCCCCAAAAAATTCACAGTTTGGGAAACAGATGATGAAAAAATGTTTACAAATTACTACTCTTGATATTGGAATTTCAGATTTTTTTGCTTCCGATTTGACATATTTTGAAAGATTTCTAATATTCTAGCAAAAGTGGCCACAATTAGAAAATCTTTGAGTTTGATTTAGTAAAACTCATCCTTATAAAAAAAATTATATTGAAATACCCGCTATAAAATCTATTCGTATTTTGAGGATTTTAACAAAATTCTTCAATTTAATGAGCTATAATTCGGAATCCAAGCCTTAGCAACATTTTTAAATCGTATATATCGAGATAAAACTGAGAGAATAGACATTTCAATAATGTTTTTACTTTTAATTTAAAAAGATGTGAAAACTTTTTCAATAATGGTTTTTTTAAATTTTATTTTTAAATTAAATTTCGTGCCATTTTTTTAATATTTTTTTTGTATAAGAATATGTTTTATTTGAATGTTCAAGATTTTTGAATAAAAAGTTTTGAAAATCGAATTGTTTCTTTTAAAAAATGTTAATATTTATATACCGTCATTTTAATTTAAATTATATCTTAATATTGAATTACATGCCATAATATTATTTTTATGGCACATTTTTAAAACAAATATTTAAATTTCTCCTAAATTTCCAGATTTTTTAATTTCTTATTAATTAGTATTCATTTTTTTTTTATTTGAAGTACTAAATGTTATATATTTTATTGCAAATTTGAAATTCTGTTCATAATATTGTACGAATTGAGAATTTTTTTAGGTTACTGAACATTGTTATTTCAAATTGATCCAAAATATAAGATTTTTTGAAATGGAAACGGAAGTTTCGTAATTTTCTGTCTTCAAAAAAATTACAACTTTTTTAATATAATAATATATTTTAGGAATATAATTTTTTTTGAATACTTGTTTTAATAATTTTGAAGTTAAAAAATTATTTTTAAATATTTTGTATTTCTCAAAACCAAATTTAA